CCTGCCTGCGCTTCCTGACTTTCAAAGCACTGAGGGACAGACAGAGCCTGGGGACGGACAGAGCCTGGGGACGGACAGAGCCTGGGGACGGACAGAGCCTGGGGACGGACAGAGCCTGGGGGACGTGCTGTCTCCGGGAGGCAGACCCAGGACTGAGAGGTTCTTCCCGAGGCCCCTGGGAGGCTGACAGGCAGCTAAGGGCAGGGACAGCCACCGGGCGCCCTGAGGCTCGGGCAGAGGTGCTCCCAGGGTCCCCCCCCAGGGCCTGCCCTGGCACCACGGGGCCTGAGGTCAGCTGTCCCTGTCTGGGCTCTGACATTCTCCTCCACCAGAAGGGACTGAGAGGCAGGTGCTCATGCCAGGCAAGTGCTTCGAGGGGCCGGGAGCAATGCGCCGGGATCCCCCACGCCTCGAGGGAGGGCCCCGGGCCAGTCAGGGTGCTCTGCTCCGGCCCGCCCTGAGCGCTCTGCACTTGGGGGCCACCTGAGCCAGGGCTGCCCGGAGATGCAAGCCTCCGGGTTCTCCACGCTGCTGTCCAGCGTCTGGACTGGGCCGGGGCTTCACTCCGGCTCTCACAGGAGGCCCAGAGACCGGAGGGTCTAAGCCAGGTGGCCAAGGGTCATGGAACAACCCGAGCCTTCTGTGACCTCACCGCCGGCTCCGACTGCTCTGCGAACCCCGCTCTCCTCACTCGCTTCCCAGAGGCCCCCGCCCCACAGCCCCGACGCTGGTGCTGGAGCCGGGCTCCTCCCTTACCTCGACAGATGGTCCCTCCGGGGGCAGGGTTGACGCACATGGGTGGGAGGCGCGGCGGGGGGAGTTTGCACTGACGTTGCCTGTGCTGGGCCCGATCTGGGGAGAGAGAGAGGGCATCAGGGTGGCCCCGACCCTGAGCTGACTCGCCCAGAGCATCCGTGAGGGGCTGCGGGCTGCTGGGTGGTCTCGGGAGCCGGTCACGGGTTCTGAGAAAGTGTCACCTGTGCTGCACAGGGAAGGGCCGTCGCCTCCTAGGGACCCCTCCCCGCTCCCGGCGCCTTCGCCACCCTGAGTGCAAGGCCCCGCCATGGACGGCCCCCGTGCTGAGCTGTGAGGACGAGCCTGGACGGACAACAGCTGAAAACCAAAAGGCCACGTCCCCCGCCGGCCCCCGCCTGTCTCCCCGTGACGGTTCTCCCGGCGCCGGCTGTGGGTTCCCCGACGGCACTGCGGCCACCAGATCTCTGCTCTTTCCTCTGGGAACCGGCAGAGGGGCCCCCGGACTGCTGGGCGCCCCGCGAGCCCAGGCCAGGCGCACACTTGGCAGCCCTCCCTCCCTCTAAGCTAGCGGGTCGCCATCCCAAATGTCTGCACTTGGAGACTAAACCCTGCTTCTCCAGCGGCCTTTCCAGGACATTCTAAGTCCCAAACGTGTGACACGCGAGAGCTACAGTCAGGACCCACCGCCTTCCATGGGGAGGAGGGTTGGGGTCTCCAAGACCCGCTGGATGGGGACAAGGGGGAGCCGCGCTGGCCTGGGGAGGAGCAGGAGCCGCTGCTTGTGGTGAACACGAGGCAGGAGGAGCGGGGACACCCCCCCCCCCCGCCCCCGAGAACAGCCTGCTCTGCACAACGATGCCCGTTTCTTCTTTTTTAAAATATATTTACTTTTACTGATTTCAGAGGAAGGGAGAGGGGGAGAGAGAGAAACATCAGTGATGAGAGAGTCATCGACCGGCTGCCTCCTGCAGGCCCCCCACTGGGGATGGAGCCCGCAACCCGGGCCTGTGCCCTGACCGGAATCGAACCCTGACCTCCTGGTTCCTAGGCTGATGCTCAGCCCGAGCCCGCGGGCTGGGCAGTGATGCCGTTTCTACAACGTAAAGTAGCTTCTCGACACGCAAGAGCCCTTGCTCCCGTGCAGTTTCTGAGGCATGAGAGCTGGGAGAGCAGGAGGAGAATTATAATTTTCAGCAGGAAAAGCAAAAGCCCTTTCAGCCATATTTTTCCAAAATTAGAAGGGAATTTCCCTAGAGCCGTGGTCAGCAAACTGGTTCGCGAGCCACATGCGGCTCTTTGGCCCCTTGAGTGTGGCTCTTCCTAAGCCTTAGGAGTCCCCTAATTAAGTTGATAACAATGTACCTACCTATATAGTTTAAGTTTAAAAAACTTGGCTCTCAAAAGAAATTTCAATCGTTGTACTGTTGATATTTGGCTCTGTTGACTAATGAGTTTGCCGACCACTGCCCTAGAGAATCGAGGTGGTAGGTGCCGTGTTTTTGAAGATTTTCATAACAACATGCTGGGGGGAAAGAGCACGTATCTGCACTCAGGGCCTCCTCCCCCGGCTCCCAGGGGCACACCGCCCCCCCCCGCAGCCTCGGCCACTGGCAGCGCTGTCCTCGTGACAACGCTCATCCGGGCTGCTGCCTCGGGTCCAGGTGCTGCTGCGATGCCGTTGTCCCCGGGCCCCTACGTCCCAGGCGTGTGCTGGGCAGAAACCCGCGAGCGGCGCAGCAGACACACCGCAGAGGCTTCCGGAGCAAAGCGCCAGGACCCAGGTGTGTCTCGGCCCGATCCCAGCTCAGGGACCATCTCAGCCGCCGCTCCTGCTCCCAGAGGGTCCTTATTCACACCCAGGGAAGCCGGGTTTAAAAGAAATGGTTTGAGGACCACTGATGATCTCATGAGGCACTTCCAGTAACTGGGGCAAAGCTGTTATAATCCCAGCCCCTCGCCACGCCCTCTCCTGCCGCCGAGAGCCATGAGCCGAGAGCCGAGAGCCGAGAGCCGAGAGCCGCGCTTCCAGGCTTGTGCGGCCTGCACAGGACCAGCTTGCTCCTTGTGGTCGGGCTGACGGCAGCGCGGCCCAGAAGCACCCTGTTCAGATGCTGGCAAAGGCATCACTGGCCCCTTTCCAGGCACATGAGCTCCAGCGGGAGGGACACAGCGCGTGGGTCCCATCGCCAAGGGAGCTGCTCTGGCCGTCACCTTCAGACCCAGCACGGGCCCTCCCCCTGCACGAAGCCCCCAAGGCCCAGGAGGGGCCTCCACCCCAGGGTCCCACGCGCAGCCGATGCTCAATCCTGCAGCCACACAGCGCGACAGTCTGCAGCCAAACAAACCGAACCTCCTCGTGTGTCAGGGACCTGCCAACCCAGGACTCGGGGCTCTGTCTCGGGAGCCCCAAGGCTCACGTCACTCTTCCTCTCAAGGTTCAGGACCCTCGGGAGCTCGCAATCTGGTCAAGAGAAACAATGAGCATCTGAGAGCCCAGCGGCGTGGCCAGTGGCCGAGCATCATCCGGGCAGGGAAGGCTGCGGCTGATTCCCGGTCGGGGCACCTGCCCCGGCTGCAGGGTCCACCTGTACAGAGGCAGCCGGCCCACGTCTCTCTCTCCCTCTCTCCCTCTCCCTCTCCCTCAGCACGTCCTCGGTGAGGATTAAATAAATAAACACGTGGAGCAGTAAACAAGACAAAAACTCCCTAAGAGATGAAGAACCGTCTACAACAGGGAAAGTATCCCAAGGCCACACACCGAGTGGTCAGGGCCCTGGCGCAGACCTCAGCGACCCCCGCATTCAGGAGGCAAGAGGGCCCAGCCCATGGTCCGTCTCCAGGAGAAGACAGGGCTGCCTGGAGCAAGGCGAATGGTTTCCCGAGACCCCACGCGGCAAGAACCCAACCCTCCTCTGTGTGGAAAGCAAGGCCCCGAGCGAGACTGTACTGAGTCCCGAAGCTGCTTAATTACTAACAGGGATCGCGAGTTGACCAGGTGTCAGCCTGCGCTAAGCTCTTCCCGGCTTCCAGGCTCCTCTGATCCTGGAACCCCTCCCCCCCCCCCCATGACGCGGGCCTGGAGGCAGCCAGGGCGGAGCCGCCTGTGAGCAGGTGCCCGGCGCCTGCTGAGCTGGTGCTGCACTGACCCTGGGGGGACGCTCTCAAGCGAGGCGGTGCCCGGCCTGGGAGTCACGCACAGAAGCGACAAAGGCGTTTCCGAGGCCGGGCGGGCGGCCCGTGGGCTCCGGGCGGAGGAAGGACCCTGAGAGTCACTCACAGAAGCGACCCAGGGACTCACGCTGGGGGAGGCGGGCACAGGCCACAGCACGGCCGCTCTTACCTTTTCTGAATGAGTCCAGGCTGAACATCTCTGGCAGGAGGGAAGCTGGAACCCTAGAAAGAAGCGCGGCCAAAGGCAGAGGTCAGTGCTCCGCCCAGGGCCCTCCGGGGAGGCCTCAGCGGAGAGGATCCGGGACTGAAGAAGCTGCCCGGACCGAGGGAGTGAAGCTCTGCGCCCAGGAGCCCGGCTGCTCCCGTCCGAGGGGGAGGGCCAGCTCCGCGCGAGGGCGTCAGGCTGTGCTCCTTCCTCCTCCGTCCTGAAGTCCGAGGCCCTGCCACAGAGGCGATCGCTTCATCGCGGACCGGAGGCCCCGCTCCAGGAGCCCTGCCTTCCCGGGACCTCCAGGAGGAGCTTCCACGGGACCCCTCTCCTGGGCGTCGGAGCTGGGCTGACGCCTGCCCTACGGACAAGCAGTTTACCGGGCTTTCGCAGAACCAGGTCAGCCCCTCGGGGTGGGGTGTGACTGCGCATCAAAGACAAGCGGTCAGTGCGCAAATGCACCGCCGGCCCCCGAAATAACAGAGGGTGAGTTAAAAGTTCAATTGTTATCCTGCTGACTATGCCCCCCGCAAAAAAAAAGTTCAATTGTTGGCAAAAAACGGTGTCGCATTTTGCTGGTTAGTACACTTAACCGAGGAAGCTTCCTAGCGACTTAGAAGAAAGTACACCTCTGGTTGAACAATTTCGTTTTAAAACGCAGTTAAACTCAGGATGATCGATGTTTTCAATGACGCGTTTTCTGGGGTTGGTGCAGTAACATTACGTGGCAAAGCAGGAGAGGGTCGGCCTTCCCAGGCGTCCGCTGGGCCTGGGCGCCTGCCCCTGACCACTGTTCCCTCTCCCTGGGGGTCACGGGCGGTGGGGGTGCAGGGCTGACCGCCGAGTCTCTCAGGTCCATGGCAGGTCTGCCCTGATGCCCTCCTCCCCCCAAGAGATGCCGGGAACTTCAGCCGCTAGGATATGGCAGCTTAGAGAGAAAACTTCAATACAATAGCAACAAGGATTCAATTTACTTTAAGAAATTACATTCCATAGACTCCTTCTGTCCAAAAAAAAAAGAAAAGAAAAAAGGTGTAATTTGAGATTCTAACTTCATAGAAAACCTGAATATTATAAAATATAAAATATCTAAGTGATTATTTAAGAAACAATACTTTCTCGCCAAAAAATTGTAAGTTAATTTGCTTGTAAATAGACTTCTGGTTTTGCTTTTTAAAAGTCCCCAATCCTCTCCATGCCAATACTAACTCATATAACATGTCATATAACACTATCTTTTCCTGTATCAAAAAATACAGTATGATAGTCAAGATCTTTTTAAAATACTGATTTTAGAGAGAAAAAGAGAGAGAGGGAAAGGGATAAAGAGGGAGAAAGAGAGAAATATCAATTTGTTGTTCCACTTATTTATGTATTCATTGGTTGATTCTTTTTTTATTTTATTGATTTTTTACAGAGAGGAAGGGAGAAGGATAGAGAGTTAGAAACATCAATGAGAGAGAAACATCGATCAGCTGCCTCCTGCACACTCCCTTACTGGTACATGCCCTTGACCGGAATCAAACCTGGGACCCTTGAGTCCGCAGGCCGGCGCTCTATCCACTGAGCCAAACCAGTCAGGGCCATTGGTTGATCCTTGTATGTGCCCTGACCAGGGATGGAACCTGCAACCTTGGATGAATGACACTCTAACCAACTGCCAGGACCCAAGATAGGATCTTAAAGAAAAAAAAAAAAAAAAAAAAGATCTTTTATTGGTGATATTTTACAGAGATCAAAAGAAAGCTGCCTTCCTTCAAGGTTCAGAGTTTCTCTTCAATAGTTTAGAGAGAAGTAAAATAATAGAATATCAGGTTTTGCACAATGAAACACTACTTAACTCCAGGAAGAGTCACTATGGGATGCTTCAAGGACAGAGAGCTTCCATAACGACTAATTAAAAATGATTCCCTGGGCCTAGCCGTTTTGGCTCAATGGATAGAGCGTCGACCTCCAGACAGAAGGGTCCCAGATTGGATTCCTGGTCAGGGCACATACCAAGGTTGCAGGCTCCATCCCCAGTGGGGGGTGTGCAGGAGGCAGCCGATCAACGATTCTCTCTCATCATTGATGTTTCTCTCTCTCTCTCTCTCTCCCTTCCTCTCTGAAATCAATAAAAAAAAAATTTTAAATGACACCCTTCTTCCCAAACAGTCACAAATGAATGTAATTCACAAACGGTTGCTTTGCAGTGTGTCTGAGCCTGAGACCCACCACTGTCTTGTGCCCGTGGCTAACTCACCTTACGAGAGCAGTGAAGACCTCAGCTTCTGGAGGCGTCTGAACTGCAGCGGAATTCTCTCCTTGCTATTCCTCATCACGAGGCTGGGCCTCCTCCTGGGAAGTACAAGGCTGGGTCACTGAGAGATGCCCCTCCCTCCGGGAAGGAGAGTGGCTCCATCACTGAAATTCACCTACTACCTCCGGCAACAAGCACAAGTTTTGTTAGTGGCATGAAACACACATGGAGACACTGGCCTGCTTCAGGACCTGCCACGACCCACTCTAGACTCACCAACCCGTGAGCTGCCCTAAGTCATCACCTCCAAGAGGCCAAGGGAGAGCCCTCCTGGCAGAGGCAGAGGAGCCGGTAGTTCCGAGAGGCTCAGCTGCGGCAGCTTGGAGTTCTGCTGCCGTCAGGACTGAGGTTCGCCCAAGGCAGGCGAAGCAGCTCGTGGAGTTTGGGGAAATAACAACTAGGCCTTGAGCACCATTTCCATAGTTTACCAAGGACTTCTGTAGACGGTTCTCTCACGTCTACGCAGCCACCCGGTGAGGCAGGAATTCTCTCCCAGAAGTTGCACAACTGGCCCAGGACCCCGCAGCAGCTGCCCCGGGGCGGAATGCAAATAGGCAGTTAGGGACTGAGCTCCAAGCAGTCCTGGCTTATCCTACACTAACTCCCGCCGTGCTGCGCCCAGTTGGCCCCTGGGTGTTTGAAATAACATTGGATAATAGCATCTTCAAAAGCTGAAAGGGGCAGAAGTGTCCAGGGATAAACTCTGAACCACAGCTACAGAAGTTAAAACACATGGAGAGTGAATACCTTTTGGAGGTATAGGCATACCCCACGCAGGTTGGAAAAAAAAATGCAGCAAAGAATGTATTTGCTGCACCTTAAACAGCTACAGAAATAGCACCATCCTAAACCCTAAGAACTAGGGGGGAGGGGGAGGGGGGAGGGGGGAGGGGAGCGGCCTCCTGGAAACTCCAAACCTCCGAGATGTAAGTGTAAATTATACCATGTGGTCAACACCCACAATGACAGTGGGTTACTTCTTTCAAAGAAACTGCCAAAGGAAACCATCAGACAATGTCTCATTTACTCTGCCTAGTAAGTTGCAAGCAAAAACGGGTTGAGAGCCTGCAAGTGGCCATCTGCGGTCCACCTGCTACAGGGTACGGCAAGCCCCTGTGGGCTGGGGGTGCAAAGTGGGACCACCCTGCCTTGCAAAATCACAACGAAGGGGACGGATGCTGCGACAAGAAGACTAGCGAGGCAGCGTGCTAGCGCCATCCTCCTGGCTTGGGGGGCTCTGAGGCCCCCTGGGCTCCAGTTCACTGCAAACAAAGAACCCAAATGCATGACCACCAGCAAACAAAGAACACCTCACCCCTTGGCTCCCCCCCGTGACAAGGTGGGTGCAAAAGGGGGCAAACCGGGGGGGCCAGATTGCACCAGGCCTCCCTCTGGGCGCACGGCCCAGGCCGCGCGGGGGGCAAACAAAGGTCCCAGGGCACTCCAGGGGCTCCCTGCAGGCCCGGCCTCGGGAAACGGAGCATCCCCGGAGGCGGAGGCGTCGATGCGCCAATGAAGCGGCCTCTCCCGCGGCCTCAGCAGAGCCCCTGGCTACCAAGCCCGCCCCAGCGGACCTGCCTGGCCCCCGCCCCCGCCCCGGCTCCATGGCAACGGCAGGCCGAGGCCTGGCTGCCCACGGCTCGGCCCAGCCGGCTTCCCGGGCAGGCCTAGGATGCCCGGCCTGCTCCCCGGGCCCGCCCGCCTCTCCGCCCCACTCTCCGCCGAGCCGACGGTCGGACTCGGACCCCGCCTCGCGCCGATCATCCCCGGCCGCGGTAAGCTCCTCCAGGGGGCACCGAAGGGGAGAATAAAAAGCCCAATTCACCTGTTGTTACAGATGTGAAACAAGCCTCGATGCACCGCGCATGAGCCGCGGGCCCCCCCCTAACCACGGCCGGACTACAACTCCCACCAGCGGCAGCGCGGGAACTTCCGGGTCCCGAGGCGGAAGTCCCGCCTGCCGCCCCGGCGCGCCCGCCCCTCACTCCGGCCCCGCCTCCCGAGCCCGCCCATAGGTCTCAGCGGCTCTCGAGCGGGTCCCCGTCTTGGGGTTCGCAGGGGTCGCCTGACCGGAGGGCGGCCTACCCACGGCGAGACCCTGGCGCCGGGCCCAATAGGGGACGGCGGGGCGGGCGGGGCCGGACTTCCGGCCGAGCGGCGTTGGGGGCACACGGGAAGCCGTGGGGTCGCCTGGGACTGCACGTGGCCGCGCCTCTCGGGGCCCCGCAGCATCCGGCGGAGTGAGAGCGGGCGGAGGCCTGGGCCCCGCGCCCCCGGTGCGAGTGAGGGAAGCGGTCGGGTCAGGGCTGAGCCCGGACGAATCCAGCTCGGCCCGGGCTCCCGTCCGCTGCCCCCCCAGCTCGTGGCCTCGCCTCCTCTCTGCTTCGGACCCCGAGGTTGCAGGCGGCTCGGGGGGACGTGCGGGCGCGGTGCACAGGCACACGCCGGGGGAAGGGCCGGGGCTGGAGCTGGAGTGCGGCGCCCGGCCGTCCCCTGGGAGGAAGGGCATCGTCCCCGCTGCGAGCCGGCCCTTTGGGTGCGGCTCCCGTGCGCTCAGTGGGAGCCAACGGGGAAAGGGAGGGAAGCGGGTGGGCGGCTCGGAGCCGCGCCCGGATCTCACAGCCGGGAAGCCCTGGACGCTGCTTTTCGGGGTGGAGGAGGAATCGGTGCCATCTCGTCCTCCTTGTCCAGACGAGCTCGACGAGTGTTTATGATGGTCCTCGTTCGCACGGCAGGGTGGGAGGTGGGCATGGAGCATCGTTCATTCAAGCAGTTGTCCCCCGACTGGCAGGCCTGGCGCCGGGTGCGGGGCGCGTCCCTGCGCGGATGCCGGGGTGAGTGGCGGGGCCGTTGCCGAGCAGGTGGAGAGGGTACCGACACCCTGTCCTCAGGGCCCTGAGGTTAGAGAAGATGAACACATGGTGCGAAGCAAATCAGAAGCGGTCCGTGCCCGGCTGGCGGGGCTGGCGGCTGAGCTTCGCCAACTTAGGAACCAGGAGGTCCCGTTGGATCCGGGTCAGGGCACGTGCCCTGGGCTGCGGGCTGGATCCCAGTGTGGGGCGTGCAGGAGGCGGCCGATCCATGATGCTCTCTCTTCATTGATGTTTCTCTCCCTCTCCTTCTTCCTGTCTGAAATCAATAAAAATATGTATTTTTAAAAAGTGATAAATGCTGGAGAGGAAATACGAAGTGTTAGAGGGTTCCAGAAAAAGGAGTGTACTCCTGGCACAGCGGGGAGAAGGGACCGTGTGAGCAAGACATCGGAGGCGGACGGGGCAAACCCTGAGGACCTGACATCTGGGGGCGTGCAGCTTCCGGGGAGACAGACAAAACAGAGTTGACTGCTATGCTGGGAGATTCTGACTATTTGTAATCAAAAAAATTTTACAGTTCTAAGTAGGAGAGTAAAAGAACTGCTTTTAGAAAGTGAAATAGCTAATTTTTTTTTTTTAAATCCTCACCCGAATATATTTTCCCACCGATTTTTAGAGAGAGTGGGAGGGAGAGGGAAAGACAGACATCAGCGTGAGAGAAACACATTGGTTAATCGCCTCCTGCACAGGCGACCAGGGCCCAGACCGGGGAGGAGTCTGCAATGAGGCACTGACCTTGATGGGACTCTAACCTGGGACAGTTCTGCAGGCTGATGCGCTATCCACGGAGCCAACCGGCCAGGGCTGACACAGCTGATCTTAGGGAGGTTGTTCTGAAAGTGTGAGCGGGTGGAATTAGCTAGGAAAGGAGAAGCTAGGATGCTGATGAGATGAGAGGTAATGGATTAAACACCACCCACCAGCGAAAAAGCAAGATGGCAGAGCTCTAGGCTGCTCTGTCCCTGGTGACCAGAAGGGTTATACGCCGTGAACGTAATTAAGAGACACGGAGTTGGAGACGATGGATTCAGCTCCAAACACATCGTGTTTGAAATGCTGTGAATTAAGTGGTAGAGACCCGATCCTCACCCCAAAGGAAATTCTAACCCGGAGAGAGGCTGAGAAGAGCATGACAGGAGTCTGAAAACCCACGGGAAGTCCTGCAGAACAGGCACCCGTGGAGCAGTCTCCATATTCTAGCTTTTTTCGTTTTCTTTTTCTGTTTACTTTAGCTTTTTGCACGTGTTGTGTTTGTAGTTTTCTTTCAGAAGATCTTTTCCTTATTCTTGAGCCTGAAACTATCTTTAACGAACAGTTGTGTCTGCTCAGAGGCACCTTGTAAAGGGTGTCCCAAAATTCACGTAAGAAGTAATTTTGATAGAAAACACAGGTTTATGATTAAAAATTGTAAATTTTTTATTGATTCATAAAGGATACAGTCTAGGGTTATGTATGGAATAGCACATCGGGTAAATGGCCTCCACGGCTTTGCTGGCACAGACGCAAAGCCGCGGTCTTCATTGTCCCTGCTCCTGGGCCATCATTGGTACTTGGTGATGCTTATCAAATTGAAGGGATTGAAATCAAAGGGCAACAGATATTAGAATCTGATTCAATAAACCAAGTAAAATTAGGCCTTTATTTTTTGTTGTTGTTAATGCTCATGCAAAATTCAAAGCTTGCGTGAATTTTGGGACACCCTTTATTAAGGTGGGTGCTCGTCAGTGTATCTCTCCCCCTCCCACATGGCTCACCTCTCGTTTCCTGGTAATTTCCTTAGCGCTGCCTCGTTTTCCTGCCTGTGTCCAGTCTCCAGGCCTCGTTCTTTGCTACCTGCTCCTTCTGCAGAAGTAGGAGGTGGGAGTGACAGGGCATCACCTTTCCTGGAATGCAGTGAACGTGGTTATAAAATCAGTCATTTTTGACCGAAGCTCTCGTTTATGTCGCCGGCCAAATCGTACAAGCCAGCTATTCTCAACCTTATGAAATGTTTATTAGCAAAACTGGAAAGAGAATGCGTAGCTTCCAGGCCGTTTTTCTGCCAACGCTGTTAACCCTGGTACTGCCCAAGGACCAACATACAGGCTTTTTAAAAAATGGGGATGAGCCCTGGCCGGTTCGGCTCAGTGGAGAGAGCGTCGGCCTGCGGACTGAAGGGTCCAGGGTTCGATGCCGGTCAAGGGCATGTCTCCTCCCTGGCCCAGGTCGGGGTACGCAGAGGAGGCAACCAATCGATGTGTTTCTCTCACGTCGATATTTCTGTCTTGCCCTTTCTCTTCCACTCTCTTTAAAAAATCAATGGAGAAATATCCTCAGGTTAGGATTTAAAAAGTAAATAAATTATGGATTGGTTTGGGGTGTTACCGCTTAGTGGTGAGACAATCATAACTTACCTAGTGTTCCCCTGGACGTTTGTATGACCCAACTAATGAAGTCTTCAAAGACTCCTTTTCGTGTTTCACTGGCTACAGTGAAACGCCTGCTCTCCCTCCGGAGCCTGCGCCTGCCCCCCCCCCCCCCAGGCACTTCCCTTTGCCTTCTCTCTCCTGAGCTCCAAGGCCCTTCTTTTGCTTCTGTAACTTGTCTCATGAGCTCACGAGCCTGCCAGCCCAGGTGGCTCACTTATACCACCTCTGTAGCTTTTTTTTTTTTATGTAACTTCCTAAATAAACTTAAAATTTGAAAAAAAAGAAAAAGAAAAAAATCCACAGTAATAACTTGGGATTTTGTTAGAAATTTTATTTAGAATGCGTAAAAACAATGTAAGTATAATTACTAAACAAATAGAAATATAATCCAGGGCTTTTGAGCCTGTCCAGGAGAATGAAAGTATTAATTGAACAGAACAGAAATTAGGAGAGAAGCAAAGAAAAACCATGGTAAGCAGAAAATAAACATGTAAGATGATAGCAATACATCAAAACATCGGTGATCAAAGAACAGAACACACTGGTGACCAACATGAGTACAAAAGGCTCCCACTTGCCCCCTCTCCCCTCACACCAAGGAGCTGGGTGATTTTGGGGTGCTGTCCTGTCGGCTTGGGGTCTTTGGGGGGAAGTGTCATTCTCCGATCCAGCGCTAGAGGACAGCAGCGCTGATCACTGCATTCCTCTCTCTGATATGGACCCGGTCAGATGCTGACCAATCAGGAGCGTGTTATTTTTGGAGCTCACACGTGCATATTTCATCTAAGGCTCATTCCCAATTTTTATTTATTTATTTATTAATAATTTTATTCAAACATTCCAAAGGATCCCAACCCCCATTTAAAAATTAAAACTGCAGAGAACTCCACTCAATGAAAACACACAAAACCCTCATAGTATCACAATTCACAATACAACTCTTACTCTGACAAACTTTTTTTCAGTATTCTTATTTCAAAAAAATGATTTTAAATATGATAATGTTACATGCAATAAACAATTATTCAAGACATCTTACATATAATATTACATGCAATAAACATTAATCTTTCAAGAATTTTAAGTATAATAGTATTACCAAAACTGTTCCAACATAGTATGATATCACAAAAGTTGTAGGAAGTATTAAAAATCTGCAAATAACAGGATTACTTCTATTATATTCTAGAATACATATTTTTCCCCCTCTGGCTGTATTTTTGTTCATCAGTTTATGTTGTTCATTATATTCCACAAATGAGTGAGATCATATGATATTTATCTTTCTCCGACTGGCTTAGCATGATGCTTTTTTTTTTTTTTTTTTAAAGTGAAGTGTCATTCATTTCAGCAGAGTTTTTTTTTTTTTTAAAATATATTTTATTGATTTTTTACAGAGAGGAAGGGAGAGAGATAGAGAGCCAGAAACATCAATGAGAGAGAAACATCGACCAGCTGCCTCCTGCACATCTCCCACTGGGGATGTGCCCGCAACCAAGGTACATGCCCTTGACCGGAATCGAACCCGGGACCTTTCAATCCACAGGCCGACGCTCTATCCACTGAGCCAAACCGGTTTCGGCTAGCATGATGCTTTTAAAGTCAGTTTTGTTGGATGTGAGTATTGCTACTCCAGCTTTTTTTTCCTTTCCAT